CCATGTACTTTTCAGTTTATTAAAAACCATTTTGATAGACAGATTCTACTAATTCTGATTTTAAACTAAAATGAACGCTGTGCTGGTACATTGTGTTAACATTTATGCATCAGATCTTCCTATATATTACTATGAGCCATACAGTTAATCTTTATTCATAGTTAACCGAGCACTAATATTATTCACTGCATGGGCACTAAAGGAAAATTTGATTTTCAGTGAGTTACATTGTATTTGGAAAATAAAGAAAGGTATTTATTTGAACTATTTGAAACTATTTGAACTATTTGAAAATAGTTCAGGGCATGACCATTGAAAAAGTCTTTGGTGGAGGTGGTGGACTTAGCAACTAAGTTTTCCAGACTCCCCTTATGTACCTGCTGGGGATTGCTGTAGATTGAGAACTGTAAAAAAAATATTTCTTTTGAACTGTGCTTGCACAGCTACCTTTAGCTGCATGAAAATATTCTCCTTGTATTCATATAGCATCAGTAGTCAAGTGACCTGCTGGTAGAAATGTGCCAGTGGAAAAATCACTTCTGTACACCTAAAGAGGGCTCTCAAAGTCTTTTTTGCTGCCAGCACAGCCAGTCCTTTTGCAGGAGACCATGCAAAGCTTTAGGCAGGCGATTTAGCAAACTGTTGACTGGAGTCAGTCAATTTATTTTGTGTATGTGTGTATGTCCTCAACTCCTCAACTTTTTTTTTTTTTTTTTGATGTGTTCCTGAAAATAGAGCTATTTTTTATGCTTACCCTTCTTACGTCAGTATACATAAGGAATAGTATGTAATGTAGGAGGGAGATGTCAGCTTGTTCTTTTATTCAATTGTAGTTGAATTCATTTTGCAGGTGCAAGAAGTTGCATTCCTGGTCCTCCCCATTCCAGGTTTCCCCGTGTTATATTCCCTTTGAACCCTTGACCCCACATCCTTATACAGGGTACTGCGTATTCTCTTCTCTAAACCATTATCAGTAATCCAGATGTAGTGACTTGAGCAAGTTCATTGTAATTTCAACAATCATATGGCTCTTCTCATTCTAATGATGTTCCTTGCTCCTTGGTAGTTTAAGGCAATTTTCTGTGGCTTCTTTACTGTTGCTACACAACACACATCAGTCATGAAAGAGCGACGGTCTGAATGGATTGCAGGATTTTCTTCCTGATCCTTTTTTTTTCTGTTCCTGTGATCTTCTCATCTCAGCTCTAGGTTTTAGATCTGTTGTACTGAATGTAAAATGCCTGGCAAGAACAGGACTGAACAGAGAGACTGACAAGATAGATTGCTGATCAATCATATTAAAAAAATAAAATAAAAGAGTCAAACTGGAAGAGGCACAGAGGAGAGATTGCTGTGGGAATGCAAAAGAAAAATGGGGTAACTCCTTTTTAGGAGCACAGCTTGGAGACTCCTGGGCTATCAAGAATAGTCAAATGCTGGAATTGGAAGCCATGTCAGTGTAAAACGGTGCTGAAACTAATTGTCCTAATGTTACGCTGAGGTAAGCTGTTACCTCAATGATGTTTATGAGCTTCTGCATGCTGCACTTTGCTTTGCTTCTGGGATTGTTTCTTGGGTTGAGAATCTCTGCAGCATGTGGCAGAGGGGCAGCCACAGGGTTGCTGTTTTGTAGCTATTGGGTCAGTTGATAACCAGGACATATCAATACTTATTTTGTCCTGCTACTTCGTCCCTAGTTGCAGTGTAACTCGGTCTTCTGCCATTAGCCTTTTGTCCTGTCCTGCTAAGGACCCAGACAGTCACAATATGGTGATTCCCAACTGGGCAAAGGCAAATGAGCAGGGCTTAATATAAGAACACAGGTTCTGGCATTTTTCTGAGATGTTGTGGTGCTGTATTTGCATGGTCACCTTTAGGTTTCAGTGCTAATGACTGACTTGAGATGATGAATAAATGACATACATTTAGTGTTGTCTTCAGAAAGTATCCTGACCTCTACTATAGGCAGGAGTTTTGCTTTTCCACTCTAGCTTCTGTTTTGCATGCTCAGATTTGGTGTGCCAAAGGGGCAGGCTGAAAGGCATTTCTGAGCATGTAAGACTTCAGTTCCCTATAGTGGGTTGTGATCAGCTTTGCTTTGGAGCCTTAACAGAGGCAAGTGCTGAGTAGCTACAAAGAGTTCATGAACGGGGCCAATGCATGGTTCTGCTGCAGTGTTCCCTTCACATTTAGGCAGTTCACACCTGATGTCATCTAAGATTTGAGATCATTTCAGCACGGCCTCATTTGACACATCCTCAGGCATCCAGGAACATTTTGAAAGTTTATTCCTTTCAGCCAACTCCCAGAGCACTCTCAAGGCTTGGCATTCTCCTTGGTTTCATAGCTTTGGTGTTCTGCCACGTCAAAGCAAATGGGCATCATTTGACACAAACAGATACAAACAGATTACCTGGAGGTACAAATACAGTGAGGTAGGGGTGTTCGTAACTAACTAGTGGCTTTTAATGGTGACTGAGTCATGGATTCTCCCCATGGCTTTGAAACTGCCAGCAAAACAGACTGTCAGGATTATGTGACATTTAATACAGTACTGCTGGTGGTATCAGTGCAGTGCCCAGGAACCCTGACAGTCACTCAGACTCCTTTGCCATAGGCATGGGAAATCACTGAAGTAGATGGTTGTTGCCCCAGCTTTAACTGTGTAGTGAAACAGAGCTTCTTTGATGTCATCAGTATTAGAGCAGCCTCCAAGGAGCACAAAGCCATTCTGCTTTGAAACATATACTTGTTTTTGCAGATGCTGGAAAACAAGTAGTTTGGATTCCATACAAGGGAATGCCTGGTAATGAGTCACTTGTATAAAGAGAAAGTCAAGATGCTCTGTGTAATTGCTCAATGTCAGAAGAAAGCTATTTTAACACAGCTTAGCAAGTTATGGATGTAAACCCCTCCTTTTCTGGCATCTCCTGAAAGCAGTGTATTACCTTGCTAACAGGCAAAATGCCATCCAAGCAGATGAGCTGAGGTAGGCAGCCAAAATAGCACGGCCAGGTTCACCAAGTGTGTCTGTTGAGGTCAAAGCTCCTGGAAGGCAGAGTAACAGAAGTGCTGTGTCGTGAGCTTCTGGGGCTGCCACCTGCTAATTGGATAGACCGTGTCTGCCTTAGTGCTGATCAGAGCTAATGCCCGAGATCAAAAGTTAGCTCAATGAAGATAAATCTGCAGTGTGAGAGAATTCTTCGTTCAATTAAGAGTTACTGAAATATGGAATAAGCAAAGCAGTGATGGCATGTAGCTGTGTGGAAGTGTGTAGAGAGGCAAGATCCGGAGGCACTCACTGAATCTGAACAGTTTGCCATACAGTTTACAGAATATTAAAGGTCTTAATTTCTGTTTGAAGTTATAGGCTATAAAGAGCAGAGGAGGGAAGACTCCTGCAGCTAAACTGCATCCTTGCTAGCTATTCCCTATATATTAAAATTCCTCCCTCTGTTTCTGTAGAAATGGCCCCATGTCCCTAGGAGATAACTACAGGATTTTCTGATTGCTGCACAATCTTTTCAGAGGTCCCAAGGGAATTAGCACATCACCATAAGGACATGTAAAGACTGTTCTTATACTGAGGCAAAGCTAGCTCTGACTGCTGTCTTCTGTGGTATAGGGGACTAAGACTGTAATACAATCAGAGAGATTCCTGCCACAGAGGTAAGTGGGGAAACACACTGCTGGGGATATTACTTTTCCCCTCCAGCTTCAGTCTTGTCTTTCATCGCCAATGAAAATGTATTGTCTTAGTGCCAAGTACCACTTATCTCCATCTTGAAGGCCTCCTTCACTCAGTAAGGCTGGGAACTTAGGAATCATATCAACTACTGAAATACCTGTTTCAGAAGCTTTCCTTTTGCAATAATTTTTTTCCAATCCCCTTTCTTTCTACTCAAACACTTTGGGGAATATGGTGTGTAAAGACTTTGGAAATAAAGTGCAATCTAACCTGGAAACATGGGGGAACTTTATTTAAAGTAGGTACATGCACACACCTCCTACACACACAACCTCCTTTTTGCCCATGTGAAAAATGCTGTCCTGGAATTTGCGGTCAGTGCGTCCTGTTTGCATGTTACACATTTAGGACACCCAAATTATCCACAGGATAAGGCTGGAGAGGCTGGAAACCAGTGTTTTCTGCTGCAGGACACCCTGGCAGGATAGAAGATGAACTGTCCTTTGAAAGGCAGCAGCATGCTTACATGGAGGCTTAGAGCCTCTTTTTAAGGTGGATGGTGTCAAAATGAGATCTACCAGGAGCATTTCATGGGGTGCCTGTGTTCTGCTACTTTGTTAGCAGTACTAGATGTAGCCTGAGTGCTCTGACCCTTGATGGACTGCAAGCCTGAGGCTGCTTCCAGCTGTCTGCCTCGCCTACCTCTCCCTGAGCAGGCAGTCCGTAGCAGACACCCACCCCAATATCACCCTCCTTGGGCTGCCCTCTAATCCTGACCCACAAACTGGCAGCTAGCTCGTTGTCTGTCCCAAGGCGTGGGTCCGTGCACCCAGCTAGTGCACTGCATTGCTATGACCCCAGCGAGATCCTGGCCCTGCCCAGGACCTCTGATACCTCCCATTTGTCCCCGCGATGAATGCCTTAGTGTGCAGGCACTGACTGTGACCCATTACGAACCAGTATGACCCAGCAGTGTGTCCTGCCCAGTGATCAGTGCCATAGCCCCACCAGCTCCATAAAGGCACATTTACTTGCACAGCCCTTTCCAGTTGGAACAAACAATGTGACGTGGAGAGGCAGGTATCTCACTGATGTCTCAAAGACAGCTGCCCCAGCACCTCAGTTCTAACGTGCTGCACCCAGATGGCTCTGTGAGCTGAGCTGCATTTTTGGTGTTTTGTTTTACAGGTGTACCGAGTGCACTGAATTTAACAAAACCATGACCTGAGCCCTCTGCATAGTACTTATTAATAGCGGTCTCAGTCTCGGGCGCTGTGTGCTGCATACTAACAAGTTGTTTTCATCCTTCCAGGCCATGGGAACTGCCTCCGCTTGCGCCGGCATCCTCGTCCGCTCCTTGCGTGGTATTTGGAGCCTGCACGCAGAAGCTCGGCCTGACATGCCACCTGCCACAGCTTGAGGCTTGGGGCAGCCCACAAGGGACCTGCGGAGGTTTCGGTAGGTTACAGGTGATCGCACTTACAAGGGAAAAAAGGAAGCCATCACTTGTTCAGGAGACTGTGTACAGGACTGGTGATAAGGAATATTTCTGCATTTTTTCTTATTACTATGTAGACACCTTTTTCATAATTTCTCTCTTGCCTTGAGGTGGGACGGGCTGTCCATTTCACCAGCAATATGATGCTGTAGAGCTGGCAGCCCCCTCTTTCTCACAGCCCCACTATAAATGCAGGGCAAACAGGCAGGAAAGAAATGTGAAAAGGGAGGAAGTTGTGCCCTTCTGTTTCCCTTCCCCCATTTTCTGCCTGCTTTTTTCCTTTTTGTTGTTGTTGCTGTTGTTGTTGTTGCCCTGGTACAAATGCAGGTACAACCCAACCCTCTGAGTCTCAACTAGCCACATCAAGAGAAATGCAGTTAACCTGTGTAAACAGCAGTGAGGTTTTGCTCAGAATGGGCTCAGTCAAGACATATCAGCTCTGATTTCTCTTCTCTCTCTTCCTGTAATAATGACAAGTGTTGCATGGTTTCTGCTCCATTGTTTGGGACAAGAACACACTGTTTAATAGCCAATTATTTCATACCCTAAGGAAGTGTTGGGAAAGAAGCTCCTGGGAAGTGAACTTGTTTCAGGAAATGAGACTAATGTTCAGCAGGTGAGATGTTTCCCTTTGCTCTTATTCGTAATACTGTCCCATCCCAGTGCAAGGCTGAAGTTGTTGCTATAAAAGGAATGGTTCAGATAAAGCATAATAATTTTTCCTGATTTTTTTTTTCTTCTTCATAAAAAGTGAAGGTTTAGCCATGGCATCATGGCAAAATTCCAGTTAGGTAATTAAATTCTGCTTACTGAAAATTCCCTTTTCAAAATCTCTCCCAGAATACAACATGCTATTCCTCTGAGCACTTTAAAAGGACTGATTCATTTTAACTTCACAGCTACCTGAATCCTGAAGCCTGCCGAAATTATCCTTGACTTTCTAAACCAGAAAGCGCAGTTCCAGATGAAGCATCTAAAGCAACATTTTGCATGCTTCATTTTTGTTGTCTAAATTTATCTTTGGGGACAATTCACACACTCAACCTGTGTACCAAGTGAGTCAGATTCTGCTGACTACCAGGAGTAAACAAAATTATTTGCATGGCAAAACCAAATACTATTTAAAATTGTATTTTTATTAATGTGTGGACTAGGTCATGAATAAATCAAATTTGTGCATTGGATTTTACACGTGCAAAAACACAATCATGAAAAAAACCTTCAAAGATAATCTGAGGTGTGTGGTCTGGAAAAGCAATCCAGAATAGATGATCTGCAGTATAAATTACTGCAATTTATTTTTTTAATTTACTCATGCTGCTTTAATTTATTATTGTTTATTCATTTGATAGATGACATTTAATTTCAGTATAAGAGCTTCGGGATGAGTGTTTGATGGTAATGGTAGAAATTTATTCCTGGGCAGAAAGCCAGCATGCCACAGCCATGTCCCACTTTGCCCTCCAAGCTGTATTTAAGTGGCCTTCTGCTGCCCTTGGGGTATGTTTTACACAGGAAGCTTAAAGCCTAATGCAGGCCTGCAGCTTGCTCACCAGAGTGAGGGAAAGACGGCTTTCCTGGTCTTCTGTTCTCTTCAGCAAGAAAATCAAATAACTGGATTACTGGCCTTCCAGTTGTGCTCGGCATTAATGGTTCAAAATCCCATTGTATTGAGCTTCTGAGATGAAATTTAAATTGATAAAGCAAACAAATTTATTGAATTGCTCTAATGTCAGTAGCATTCCTGTTACCTGTTTGAGTGGAATGGCTGTGACTGGTCTTTAAACAGCTAAATATACATAAGACATCTGCTGCTGGGCTGTCTGTATGACAGAGCAATATAGCAAAAAAGACCCACCCACAACAGCCTACTAGAGGCACAGATTAATGCAGGTTTTCCTTCTTTGCTTATTTTCATCTTTGGAATAGAAAATGAAAACAAACAGATAAATTCATTGCATGGTTAAAAATACCTCAAGATCTATGCAGAACATGAAATATTTGGGCTGATAGTGCAGAACTTTATTGCTTTTTTTCTGATTATACCTTCATATACATTGACTTGAATTTCCTGTCCTCGGTCTTTTTGTTACCTGCACATATGTTATATATTTATCTAGGGCTCAATTCTATTTGTTGCATTGTGTTCATAAAGATACAATATCAGCTTAGACTTAGAGAAGCATCATAATGCGTTTTAGACCACTTTATTGACAGTATTTTATGTATTCACACATACATACCACGATCCAAAATATTTTAAGGCAAATCATTCAAATATGCAAAATAAGTCCACGTGCAACCATAGTTGAGTTAAATTCCTATTCTTATATAGGAATTCAATATAAGAATAGGAATAATAATATATATTCAATATAATAATATTCAATATAATAATTCAATATAATAATAATAATTCAATATAATAATAGGAATATTGAGAAGGAAACTTCTCCAACAAGCAAGGGTTTGATCCTTACATTTTATGTAAGAGTGGTTTTGCTACAAGTTTTCTTGTTACCATCCTTTTGTATTTAAGATGTGTCAATAGAGCAGTAAACAGCTATCGAAAAATGGCTATCATCATGGTAGCATGTGCATTTATTTCCCTTGACCATTTTGATGAATACAGCCTGTACAGGGAGCAGTGGGCTGCTACCTCTGATGATGTGAGTTGGTAGCTCCTGTGTTCAAGTGAAAGTTTTTGCTGGCCAAATATCTGACTAGAAGCTGTAATGACTTGGGTTATTATAGAGCAAAACTCACTGATCAAATACACATTAAATTAAAAGCTGAGATACATTTTTGTAGCTTTTTGAGAATCTAGCACATGCTTTAGAGCATATTCGTGTTAATAAGATAACAAACACATAATGGATGTGGCACTTACCCACCTGAACAACATCTTCAAGTTAAAAAAAAAAAGATTGATAAACAATGCATTCCATTAGTTCTCTCTTTTACAACTAATAAACTTCCTGTTCATTAAGTTATTACATGCCATTCCTCATCTTACAAATAGAACCCGTAATTCATTTTTTCCCAGAGCTGCACATTCTTTAAGTCTACAGACTAAATTACCAGAGTACATTTTGTCAATAACGCTTCTGTTTGGTGGGGGAAGGAGGGGGCAGCTAAGTAAAGTAATATGAAATGCAAGCCATTTTTTGTGTCAGAGGTCATTTATTTGCTTCAATATTGCATTTATTCTATTTGTGCATTCGCTAAACGATGATTATTATGGAAATCCCATGGTTAATCACTGTGCTACATTTAAAATGTTCCACATTTTATTGCAGACTCTTACACTTGTGAATCTACAGAGATATCTTGAACAGTAAACTGTCCTTTTGCAATGAATTGCTGACAATCTATTAGTTCAGTTGCGCATTTACTGAAAGATAAAGGCTTTCTTCTGCAAGCAGTGGAAAAGCCGCAGAGGCAAACAAAAATCATCCATATTCTGCAGTCCAAAACCAAAAGACTTGTCGTTTCCCGAGCCAGAAGAGCCCAGCACAGATGCAGGCAGCCAGTGAACATTTCTGTGTGGGAAGTTATATGGGACTAATTTGTGTCCTAGACCAAGTTTCCAACACTACTCTTCTCACCAGGGCTTGAAGTGGGATTAGTGTTCTCTGAGTATAATATATAGTATCTATTTGGAAAAAAATACAACCCAGTGATAAAATGCTTGCCTGGGGAGTGGGATAGAGCGGTTGGGGCTCTTTGCAGCTTACAGTGATTTAGAACCACTTCTGCTGTCCAGAAAGCAGGCAATCAAGATGGGGAAAAAAACATGCAGCCTCCAATTTGCTCTCCCAGCCTGGCATTCAGCTGGATGCTCAGGTACAGGTCCCAGTGGGTACCCCATAAGAAAGCGTTCTGTGAGGAGGGGCTGCAGGAGAGAGCTGGGGGTGGCAAGGCAAATAGGCCATGCAGCAGCACCTCCCATACCCCCAGACCTCCCACGCCCCCAGTTCAGGGGTGGGGAACAGACCCTGGAGAGCATCCCAGCACCTTCCTTGTGGAGGAGCTGCAACAACCCTGGGGATGATCTGAGCCTCCCCCATCTCTCCTCCTTCTCATTAGAAGCTGTCTGCTTTTTCCTTTCAGTGGAAATGAGCAGCCATGAGCAATCATAATTTTCACCAGAGGGAAAAAATGTCCTCCCCCCACACCTGTCCCTTGGGGAATTAGATGGTTCAATTTGCTACAAGCACACTAGCAATTAAGCATCACCTATATACGGGGACAGCGCTAAGTCAGTATTAGTCTGAGTAAGGAAAGGGATGAGAAAGATTAGCAATGAACAGGAGTAGTCAAGGCTGGATGCTATTAGGGGGATGAATAAAATTTTAACTGATCCAGATGTGTCCAAAATACTATATTGTATTACCATACTTGAATATCAGCTAATACTTCTTCCCATTAAGTTTGTTTGACAAATACATAGGCAATTGTTGTCAATGGAAGAAATAATAGTGTCATTAGAAAGCACTTTTTTAAAAAGAAGAGTTGTAAAAGGGTGCTATGACAACAAAACAATGGGGTTATGACAATTAAAGACTGAAATATAAATGAGATCAATGAAATATACAATGTGTGTTTTTTTTGTTTTGTTTTGTTTTTTAATGGAGTATTTAATAAATGAAAGGGGAACAAAAAGTTTCTTGCTGATGCTTTTACCCATATCATTTCTCTCTCTTGGTCTTATCTCCATCCAGACTTGAACCCCACTGAGAATATGTCCTGACTTTACAGTATGGGAACCATGCTGCCTCGGCTATTTTATTGCTTTAAGCTAACTTCTGAAGCACATAGAAATGTGCAATTGCTTCTATGACAGCTCTCTAGACATGCCCTTATTGAAGCATTTGTAAAATTGGATTGATCTAGATAGCTAGATAGTGAAATATTCAGTATTCTAATGGAGTTTCTTTATCTACCGTCACTCTTTATT